ATATCGTGAAAACAACAGTACATCCTGCATTGTGTGACCCGTGCAATTACTCCTTGCCACATTTGAAGCCAGAAAAGTCCAAGAACAGGGAAATAGAAATTCAGCCAGGTTTTACAAAATGAGGACAGGTATGCCATGGCAAAATGTATGGAGAAGCAGATCCCAAACCCAGATTTTTGAGATTTAAAGTGGGTTTTGATCCTCAATTTAGCCCAAATCCGACTTTCAAAAGCCAGCGGGATAGTTTCCGATGAATGGACTGTATAGCTGTATTGCGTTTACTTGTGTTTTATTTCGCCATATTTCGATTTCGTTCTTGTTGCACCTTGCTCCTTGCTCGTAATTTTAATCTTTGTATCGTTCCAAACTTTCGCCCTCTATTCTAAACAAAATGGCTGTTGACCCGCGCCACATACCTTCCTCTAATGAGTCTATGTAAAACAAGTGAAAAGATTACATCAGCGCTAAAGAACCTCTAAAGCTTGCAGCATGGCTGTGGCAAGTGCAGTTGGTTGAGATACCTACCCGTGAGGATACAACGCAGGAGGAGATCCGTAAAATGTAGAAGACGATGCTGCAGCAGACGGGTAGGCAACAACAACAACGATTGTGTGAACACTGCAAAAATCACGGGTGCAAGGTGGGTGAAAAGGAGCATACGAGTACAGCTGAAAACGGTAGAACCGAAGTTCAGTTTCGGAATGAAATGTGAAGTTTTCAGCGTAAACTCACCTACCTGCCATAGCATTTCTGTTCATTGGAGAGCCAGTAACATTGGCCTCAAAGCAAAACATGAAGTAATCTAATTCCTACAGTTACAAGAGATTTGAATCACACCAAGACAGAAAGCGTACTTAGAGCCTTTGTTGTCATTTCGTGCACACTGTTCGTAAAGGGTGCTGTCCCCTCTCTACATGGGAGAGGAGTACGATGTGAAAACTGATCGAGTACATATTTTCTGATACGATAGCAATTATGACTAACACACACACACACACACACACACACACACACACACACACACACACACACACACACACACACACACACACACACACACACACACACACACACACACACACACACACACACACACACACACACACACACACACACACACACACACACACACACACACACACACACACACACACACACACACACACACACACACACACACACACACACACACACACACACACACACACACACACACACACACACACACACACACACACACACACACACACACACACACACACACACACACACACACACCCACACACACACACACACACACACACACACACACACACACACACACACACACACACACACACACACACACACACACACACACACACACACACACACACACACACACACACACACACACACACACACACACACACACACACCATTGGACCATTGGACGCCCATCGCCGGAGGCGATGATAGCGATGCTACAGCAGAAGCCATAGCAGCTTGTGCTGGGATTGCACCATTCAACAGCTTGCAAGGCTGAAGAATTGACCGCCACTATTCAGCCTGGTCTACACCACACAGCTATGAAGTGGCTTTTTCTGGCCAGTGAATCCCTACTTTTTGGTCTTTCTTCTTTTTCTTTTTTTTCCGCACACACACACCACACCACATACTCCGGCATGCACTGGCTGTTGGTAACCACCCAGGAGAATGAAAGAACACACACACACACACACACACACACACACACACACACACACACACACACACACACACACACACACACACACACACACACACACACACACACACACACACACACACACACACACACACACACACACACACACACACACACACACACACACACACACACACACACACACACACACACACACACACACACACACACACACACACACACACACACACACACACACACACACACACACACACACACACACACACACACACACACACACACACACACACACACACACACACACACACACACACACACACACACACACACACACACACACACACACACACACACACACACACACACACACACACACACACACACACACACACACACACACACACACACACACACACACACACACACACACACACACACACACACACACACACACACACACACACACACACACACACACACACACACACACACACACACACACACACACACACACACACACACACACACACACACACACACACACACACACACACACACACACACACACACACATACACACACACACACACACACACACACACAGAGTAGCCATGGACTCACAATAAGACGGAGACAACCAAGCCCATGATGGCACCCTCCGGCTGATGTTGAGTAGTCATTCCAGCAAACACACTATAGAAGCTGAAGCCAATGACCATCGTCAACAGTACTGTCACAACAACTGCGCATGAAAAAGAACATCAGCTACTGGTGTGAGTATCATGGAAAACCAGACACCATCATTCTCTATCAGAATGTGACGGAAAGCAGGGTGGAAAGCCAGGAGAGGAGAGGAGAGAGAGAGAGAGAGAGAGAGAGAGAGAGAGAGAGAGAGAGAGAGAGAGAGAGAGAGAGAGAGAGAGAGAGAGAGAGAGAGAGAGAGAGAGAGAGAGAGAGAGAGAGAGAGAGAGAGAGAGAGAGAGAGAGAGAGAGAGAGAGAGAGAGAGAGAGAGAGAGAGAGAGAGGGCATGGTATGACCAGTACATAGTCATGGGAAGAAAAGTAAACTTTTTTCGGACCCATGGACTCTATATAGGATGCGAACCTCATATAGGGGCTGGACTGCCTACCAAGTCCAATATATACAGGAGACAAGGCTAGCCTGGTGTCCTTGTTGCCTGCACATCCTGTTCCGGGAAACTCTGAGCCAAGACGTGACTGCCTTTGTCCTTCAGTCGTGTGTAACATGATCAGCCTGATCAGACTGCCACATGGAACACTTCATGGGATGGTAAACTGGTGCCAGTGGCCATGACATTCGGTGCTGCGACCGTGTGTGCATGTATGGGTGTGTAAACTGGTGCCAGTGGCCATGACATTCGGTGCTGCGACCGTGTGTGCATGTATGGGTGTGCAAACTGGTGCCAGTGGCCATGACATTCGGTGCTGCGACCGTGTGTGCATGGGTGTGTAAACTGGTGTCAGTGGCCATGACATTCGGTGCTGCGACCGTGTGTGCATGGGTGTGTAAACTGGTGTCAGTGGCCATGACATTCGGTGCTGCGACCGTGTGTGCATGGGTGTGTAAACTGGTGCCAGTGGCCATGACATTCGGTGCTGCGACCGTGTGTGCATGTATGGGTGTGTAAACTGGTGTCAGTGGCCATGACATTCGGTGCTGCGACCGTGTGTGCATGGGTGTGTAAACTGGTGCCAGTGGCCATGACATTCGGTGCTGCGACCGTGTGTGCATGTATGGGTGTGTGCATCAAGTGATAATGCTAACGACGCGTGTCCTTCTTTCTTCTGAACAGAATGTCGGACTCAACACAAACGTCAGCCAGAGCTCTGCCGAGGCATGCAAGTCATTAGCAAGATTTTATTCGCGTAGCTATGCAGAACACGTTACTTCAGTAACGTCTGGCGCTAGCCAGGGTCCAAACAGCTTTAATTTGGTATTTTTTGTTTGTTTGTTTGTGTGTTTGTGTCACGCCTGGAGCTATCCCGTATCTGTCCCGTATCTGTGACTACAAAGGCTCTACAGGATTGTACATAACAGCTGGCCACAATATTTGCTGGCTCCTGTATCTGTCCCGTACCGTCCCGTACAAACAGCTGGCCACAATTTTCGTCGTATTATGTATACGACTCCCTAATGTAGAGGGAGATTTGGAAAGAAATAGGGAGACGAGGAGGAAATAAAATAAGAATGGACGTTAGTTGCCGAATAGGTGATAGGATGCGTCAGCAAAAACATACTTTGGAAGAGAGATCCCGTCGTCTCCAAAATAAGCGTGAACAGGCGATTCAGCGCCGGTCACAGGAAACGTCGGAAGAGAGATCCCGTCGACTCCAGAACGCCCGTGATCGGCAGTGTCAGCACCGGTCCCAGGAAACGTCAGGACAGACATCCCGTCGACTCCAAAATACGCGTGAATGGGCGATTCAGCGCAGGTCACAGGAAACGTCGGAAGAGAGATCCCGTCGACTCCAGAACGCCTGTGATCGGTAGAGTCAGCGCCGGTCCCAGGAAACGTCAGGACGGACATCCCGTCGAGTCCAGAACGCCCGTGATCGGCAGAGTCAGCGCCGGTCCCAGGAAACGTCAGGACAGACATCTCGTCGACTCCAGAACGCCCGTGATCGGCAGAGCCAGCGCCTGTCACAGGAAACGTCAGGACAGACATCCCGTCGACTCCAGAACGCCGCTTGGTACCAACCGGCCAAAGTAAATCGCAGGCCAAAGTTTGTCATAGAGGCAAATGATGCATGATTGAGCAATGGATGCATGTGAGAGCAAAAAATTCCGATCGATTTCTTTTTGAAAACTCCAATCGACCAAAGTTTAATGACGGTGAAAAGTTTCGTTTCTCATCGGCCAAAGTTTCTCATCGACCATAATTTGTTGATTTACAGTATAAGGAGATAAAAAGAAAAGAAGGAGCAAACCAAAAGTGGATGAAATAGAGAAAAATAACAATCCGCAATAAATTCTGCAAATACTTTTGCCTAACTCATATTCAAACTGATTGAAACGTTTTTGCAATACAATGATGTGGCCAATCAACGGAAAAAAACATTTCCATTAGTTCTAATAACAGTTCTAATAACATGTACGATGAGCTAGGCAAAAAAGCATAAAAGCATAGCGTAGGGCCCGGAGCTTCCAAGCTCTCTCGTTGTAGCGCTACAGGCGGGAGCATCCGCCTTGGACGCCTTGAACAGGCTGGCTCAGGCCCACAAGTTGCGTGCCATGGCGGGCGGCCTCACCACCCTGTTGACCAATCTGAAGAAATTTGCATCAATTGTTGAAGACGGGCCTCCCGAGGAACGGCCGTCCAACACCGGCGGAATCCGTACGTGACACTGCCTGGCAGCCGCTGCTGCCGCTGCAACCTGGAGTACTTAAATCATTGCGCCGCGGTCAATGACTGGAATGATGCGCAGCGCGTACAATTTTTGGCGGTCCGACTTCGAGACGGTGCACATAAATTCATGGGCACAGTCCCAGGTGCTAGATCTGCCATTGGGGCTGACCTTATGGCAGACCTGACGGACCGTTTTGCTCCGGCGGGCACAGCTCCGCCAGTACAAAGCACAGTTTCGAAACCGCTGAATGCGGGCGAATGAACACATTTATACCACTAGTGGATAGAGACATTACAGAGCAGCATCAATGTTTGTACCCCTATTGGACAGAGACATCACAGAGCAACATCAATGTTTGTACCCTATTGGACAGAGACATCACAGAGCAACATCAACGTTTGTACCACTATTGGACAGAGGTACCACAGAGCTATATGTAGAAGGCAGAGACATCACAGAGCTATATGTAGAAGGCAGAAACATCACAGAGCTATATGTAGGAGGCACTTACCACTAAGCCATTTTTCTTGGATAACAGAGTTAGCAGTGGTGATGTGAAGATGCAAGTGACCAGTGAACATCAGGAACACAATCTGCACCGTGGCAACATAAGCCACGGCAATCAACAAACGGTCGGAGTGGAAATCCAGCAAGTTGGCCGGCCTAAAACAACAGCAAGAACAACAGTAACAATGCTGGCTGGCGACAACGGCCGTCATGACACCACCGCAAACACAGCCAGACAGACCGCAGTGCAGAGGTCTGCACACAGCAAATGAAATATTAAGAGAGAAGAAAGAATGAAGAAAGTTGAATATTGGTACCTGTGCAGTTTCACAGGAGGCATGGATTTTGAAATCTGAAGAAAACCTTGAACTGTGCAATGAGTCTGACATTCAGGAAGGAAAGTGTGTGTGTGTGTGTGCGTGTCTGCATGTGTGTGTGTGTGTGTGCACGCGCGCGCGCGCACGTGTGCGTGTCTGCATGTGTGTGTGTGTGTGTGTGTGTGTGTGTGTGTGTGTGTGTGTGTGTGTGTGTGTGTGTGTGTGTGTGCGTGCGCGTGTGACTCGGGGTATGAGCAATGAAGGAGATATTTGCCTCTAGCTGAGTGTACATGCACACATCTGTACACTTACACCACAGATGAAAGCTTCAGCTGCAAGCGGAATGGCTTTCCTGGCTTGCGGAGTGATAAATAAATGATGCACACTGCCTGAAAAACATCATGAAAGCAAACAGACAGAGCTAACTGAACATTGCCACCTAGCTTCACGCCAATGTCACACATATCACCAATGTCTCCGTCCTCGGTTTGCTGGCAAGGAGTGCCATTTACCAAATTCTGACTTAGATGCGCAGTGTGGGCACAATGTGAGCACCGTGTGAACAGTGCGAGCACAGTGACATCACCATGTGAGTGGGGTGAACACAGCACGAGTACGAGTACAGGCCTACCCTCGTTAGTAGACAACCCTGGGGGTTTCAACTTGTTCGTCTTATCATTGTTGTTGTTGAAATTTTATTTTGTATCGCAGACCAAAATTATAACGGGTATTATCTAATATCTGGACTTGCACGTCCGACTTTCAGGTGTCAGAGAATTTTGGCTCGTTATCTACTAATGAGGCTAGTCTTGTACCCGATGCCGTACTAACAAGGGTAGACCTGTGCTAACGAGGGTAGACCTGTACTAACGAGGGTAGACCTGTACTAACGAGGGTAGACCTGTACTAACGAGGGTAGACCTGTACTAACGAGGGTAGACCTGTACTAACGAGGGTAGACCTGTACTAACGAGGGTAGACCTGTACTAACGAGGGTAGACCTGTACTAACGAGGGTAGACCTGTGCTAACGAGGGTAGACCTGTACTAACGAGGGTAGACCTGTGCTGACGAGGGTAGACCTGTGCTAACGAGGGTAGACCTGTACTAACGAGGGTAGACCTGTACTAACGAGGGTAGACCTGTGCTGACGAGGGTAGACCTGTGCTAACGAGGGTAGACCTGTACTAACGAGGGTAGACCTTTGCTAACGAGGGGAGACCTGTACTAACGAGGGTAGACCTGTGCTAACGAGGGTAGACCTGTGCTAACGAGGGTAGACCTGTGCTAACGAGGGTAGACCTGTGCTAACGAGGGTAGACCTGTACTAACGAGGGTAGACCTGTACTAACGAGGGTAGACCTGTGCTAACGAGGGTAGACCTGTACTAACGAGGGTAGACCTGTACTAACGAGGGTAGACCTGTACTAACGAGGGTAGACCTGTACTAACGAGGGTAGACCTGTGCTAACGAGGGTAGACCTGTGCTAACGAGGGTAGACCTGTACTAACGAGGGTAGACCTGTACTAACGAGGGTAGACCTGTACTAACGATGGTAGACCTGTACTAACGAGGGTAGACCTGTACTAACGAGGGTAGACCTGTACTAACGAGGGTAGACCTGTACTAACGAGGGTAGACCTGTACTAACGAGGGTAGACCTGTGCTAACGAGGGTAGACCTGTACTAACGAGGGTAGACCTGTGCTAACGAGGGTAGACCTGTGCTAACGAGGGTAGACCTGTGCTAACGAGGGTAGACCTGTACTAACGAGGGTAGACCTGTACTAACGAGGGTAGACCTGTACTAACGAGGGTAGACCTGTGCTAACGAGGGTAGACCTGTACTAACGAGGGTAGACCTGTGCTAACGAGGGTAGACCTGTACTAACGAGGGTAGACCTGTACTAACGAGGGTAGACCTGTACTAACGAGGGTAGACCTGTGCTAACGAGGGTAGACCTGGACTAACGAGGGTAGACCTGTACTAACGAGGGTAGACCTGTGCTAACGAGGGTAGACCTGGACTAACGAGGGTAGACCTGTACTAACGAGGGTAGACCTGTACTAACGAGGGTAGACCTGTGCTAACGAGGGTAGACCTGTGCTAACGAGGGTAGACCTGTACTAACGAGGGTAGACCTGTACTAACGAGGGTAGACCTGTACTAACAAGAGTAGACCTGTACTAACGAGGGTAGACCTGTACTAACGAGGGTAGACCTGTGCTAACGAGGGTAGACCTGTACTAACGAGGGTAGACCTGTACTAACGAGGGTAGACCTGTACTAACGAGGGTAGACCTGTACTAACGAGGGTAGACCTGTACTAACGAGGGTAGACCTGTGCTAACGAGGGTAGACCTGTGCTGACGAGGGTAGACCTGTGCTAACGAGGGTAGACCTGTGCTAACGAGGGTAGACCTGTACTAACGAGGGTAGACCTGTGCTAACGAGGGTAGACCTGGACTAACGAGGGGAGACCTGTACTAACGAGGGTAGACCTGTACTAACGAGGGTAGACCTGTGCTAACGAGGGTAGACCTGTGCTAACGAGGGTAGACCTGTAGTAACGAGGGTAGACCTGTGCTAACGAGGGTAGACCTGTGCTAACGAGGGTAGACCTGTGCTAACGAGGGTAGACCTGTACTAACGAGGGTAGACCTGTACTAACGAGGGTAGACCTGGACTAACGAGGGTAGACCTGTACTAACGAGGGTAGACCTGTACTAACGAGGGTAGACCTGTGCTAACGAGGGTAGACCTGTACTAACGAGGGTAGACCTGTACTAACGAGGGTAGACCTGTACTAACGAGGGTAGACCTGTGCTAACGAGGGTAGACCTGTACTAACGAGGGTAGACCTGTGCTAACGAGGGTAGACCTGTACTAACGAGGGTAGACCTGTACTAACGAGGGTAGACCTGTGCTAACGAGGGTAGACCTGTACTAACGAGGGTAGACCTGTGCTAACGAGGGTAGACCTGTACTAACGAGGGTAGACCTGTGCTAACGAGGGTAGACCTGTGCTAACGAGGGTAGACCTGTACTAACGAGGGTAGACCTGTACTAACGAGGGTAGACCTGTGCTAACGAGGGTAGACCTGTACTAACGAGGGTAGACCTGTGCTAACGAGGGTAGACCTGTGCTAACGAGGGTAGACCTGTACTAACGAGGGTAGACCTGTACTAACGAGGGTAGACCTGTACTAACGAGGGTAGACCTGTACTAACGAGGGTAGACCTGTACTAACGAGGGTAGACCTGTACTGTGTGTGCAGTGTCGGTACGGTGTGAGTCACTTAATCTCACACCTGCATTGCCTTGCTTGCTGTCACTAAGTGTTGTGAAAGTGGATTGTAGGCAAAGCGCTCACCGATATAGGCACGAGCACTAAGTAGAAGAGCCTGACAAGATCCAGTGTGCATTGAGGAGGAGCTGGTGTAGGCGGTGCGGCGGCGGAACTGCAAAGAATCAAACACACTTCTCAAATCAGATGGGATTGTACCTGGCATGGCGGACGCTTTGCCAAAGGGAGATTCATTGGCATGGTTCCTTGCCTCAGTCCCTCCCTCGACCCCCCCCCCCCCCCCCGCCCTGCCCCGTCTCCCTCCCCAGAATTCTGCAATAGCAGTACATGTATAATGAAAGAGGTAAGGATACAACACACTGAAAAGACGCCACTCAGAAAAGCCAATTAATAAGGAGACAGTACATTGGCGAGATCCCAGTACTATTAAAACACATTGTAAGTGTAGTGAGACAGCAGAGTTCACAGCAGAGTTGGAATGCTGCAGGCTAGACTTACCCTGGTCCCGTATTCCCTTGCGCTGCTAATCATAGGAACATAGAACATAGGCAAACAGACAACACGGAGACATAATGTGGTCTATAGTGCATCAATAAAAAAAGAAAAATCATGATTCTATCAACGTGGGGAAGGCGGGTTAATTAAAAGTGCGGCATGTTCTTTTAATAACCGAGAAAAGTTTTGAAGTTTCATGAAACGTTCCTCTTTCCGGTACTTCCACCATCACATATTCCTGAACATCACATATTATTCCTGAACCTCTGTAGCAATTACAGCCTGGACACTCCTCCCGCAACCTTCACTTTTTCACTCCAGGTCTGTAGGGCTGCAGCAGTTGTCCAGGCCGATTCCAAAGTCGCTTCTTGAAACGAAACAACTTCGCTGCTGGGTAGGTGAGTTTAGATCTGACGCGTACCGAGCAAAGTAAACTCTGGCAAGGGCCAAAGTGATTGGTCTCGGGGTGGGCTTCGACATTTGGAATTTACAGGTGTCTACTTCGAAGCACAGTACACAGTGTACTATCGGCAGCACTGAACTGTCTGTTACTCATTCTTGCATTTCAAAATAAGTCTGTTACCACTGTTCTAGATGTTACCACTGTTCAAACAATAGGAGGACAGAGAAAGTGTTTTTACTCCGAGTTTCACGCACTAAGCGATCATCAGAAAACAGTAATGAGAAATCTGGATCAGTATTGGTTTATATATTCACAAAGCAAAGTGTAAATAGCTGCACCACTGTTCTAGATGTTACTACTGTTCTAGATGTTATAGACTGTGAGCCAGGCACCAAAAATCCTGTCAGAATTTTTTTCGTTCCGACCTTGAGCGTACCGCAATTTTTTTCCCCAGTTCGTTCCATCTACAGTCCATTCATAAAAAGATGGGTCCTGGCTCTGGCGAGCTCCCGTATTTGGCGATTTTTCGTGATTTCATCGTACACAGTGCAGTGCTGCGAACTTTGAAATTTGAAAAAGGGTCCAAAAAGGGTGCCTGAACTGGGGTTCGAACCGCAGAATGCACTGTTGCAGGCGGGGTCAAACGGCCTGGATTTTGATGGTTTTTCCCAATTCAGTGATTTTGGGGCAAAACCTGGCCGAAATCCTATTCTTGCTATGGCTTGCTTTTTGGACAAAAAAACTTCAGAAACATAATTGGAAGAGGATTACATATGGGATTGCAGAAAAAAATTCTAAAAAAACTCAACGTTTGACCCATTTATGGCCAAAAGCTAGAAGTTCATTTTTTTCTGAATGGACTGTACTCGACTAGATACGCATTCAGCTTGTTGTCACTTCCAAATCAGGCACAAACATGCCCAAATAGAACGGAGAAAGTTTGACCAAATCCATAGCCGCCATCGACAAGAACCAAGGTCACAAGAGCCGGAGCGGACTCCTGTTGCACCACTGACCTCGCAAAAATGTACGGTGGTGCTGACACTCCCCGTACATGGCACTGCACCTGACACAAAAGGTCGTACTGAGGTCGCACAGTGGAGGCACTAGTACGCACTGCAGTTATGAGCATGAAAGGGGCTGCACAAAAGGAGCAAAAGCGTAGCCTTTGCACATCTCCACGTGGAGACGTTTGAACACCACGTGTGGCCAGAATTATCGGCCCGCAGCATGCAATCTATTCCGAAAATGCACATGTATTGAGGAAAACAGAAAGAAGATGATGTGAAGACGTTTGCGGTGTGTGTCATGGAGGAAGAGGAGGAGAGAAGCAGGTCCCCTGCTCAAGGTTCATGTGCTGGCTCGCCGGCTTCTCGACGTTTACGATGCGTCATCCACGTTAGGCGAGATGCTGAAGGTGATAATGTGACAGGGTTTTCCTCACATTCTTGGGAGAGAGTTCAGCAAGTAATAGTTGTTGACGATCGGAAATTTGAGGCTGTGGACAGTTCCGTAGACTTTTGTGCAACTGTGTGGCCTGTTGATGCTGGCTATCATCGTAAATGCTACCAGCAGGTCACGAACAAGACACTGTTAGAGCGTGGCTCACAGTCTATGAAGGATGTTGGAGATAGCCAATGTACTGCTGCTGTAGCTGATGACAGTGGTGGGCGAAGGACCACACGCCAGACTTTCAGTATCCCAAAAGTCTCTGAAGATGTGCATAGTTGCATCATTTGCTCAAAGGTGGAAATCAGGTGTGGACCTACCGGCAGGAAGACTGTCCAGAAGACATCTCTGTGCCAGACACAGGCTGCTGCGACAAAGTTGACCAACGCTGCTGCTGTACGTCGTGATGAGCGGATACAGCTTGCTGTTGGAACATGTGGCTTGCTTTTGGTAGACCGTGGACTACGGTATCATAAGTCGTGTTACAATGACTATACACGAGCCAAGACCTTGGAGAAGTTGTGTGCCGGACAGCATGCGGTTGAGAAGACTGCTGATGGGAATGAGATCTTAATCGACCAGAGCAGCTATTTGTGACCGGAAAGATGCTAACAATGAGTGTTGTTAATATGCAGTACAGGGAGTGGCATGAGGATGAAGTTATCAGAAACGACAAGCTGAAAAAGCTTTTGCTTCAGGAGTTTGGAGATGCAATCACTTTCTTCCGGACACCTAAGAAGAATGACCCGGAACGGGTGTACGCTACCCAGCATGAGGTGCATTTTCTTAGCCAGCTGTCTAATGATACAGAGAGTTCTGATTTGGACACAAGTGATAGCGAATTACATCATGCTAATCAAGATGATTGGCGCTCACAAGATGAGGCACGGATTTTGTACCACGCGGCAATCATTTTGAGAGCAAAGATCCGTGACCATGTGAAGTCAGCTCCCAAATCAGCATGGCCTCCTTCGCCCGAGGCGAACCTGTCGACGGCCAACGGTGATGAGCACCTCCACAACTTCTTGGCTATCTTAAGCAGCGATCAGTACAATGGGCAATATCACTGATCAGCATGTCAAGCGCCAGATATGGTCAACTGCACAGGACATTGTGCATATATGTACGCCTGCTCGACCACCAAAGCATGTGGCGTTAGCTGTCGCTCTTCACCACATGTTCCGAAGCTATCGCCTGATCCGCAAGCTGAATCGGCTTGGTCACTGCATTTCCTATGCCCAAGTACTGGAAATCGAAACGGCAGTGGCTGAAAAGCATGTTCACGAGCAACAAGACATGGCATATCTCCCTGGTAATATCAACCCGAGCTATCCCTTTCATTTCGTCTGGGATAATAATGATCTTAATGAGGAAACATTGTCAGGTGCGGGCACAACCCATTGCACTAATGGAATTGTTGTGCAGCGCGGAGCAACAGTGGAGTTGTCCAATAGTGCTGACACTGGAAGGGAGCTCAATACCCCATCGTTTTGCCCTCAGAAGCGGAGACGATCTGCGGTGGTACTGCCAACAGCGCTGCCACAGTCAATCACGATGGCAAAATGCAACCCGCCACCTATCTCAAGCGGCAGTGTCACCATTGCATCAGTGAGCTCTGCTATCCATGCCTCCGCCCAGCTCCAGGATATCCTTTGGGCCCTGGCACGTCTAGACAGTGATGTCTTCCAGCCAAACGCCACTGTGGAATCCGATGACCGTATGGAGCAGGAGCAAACAGTTCCTGCCTGGTCCGCATTCAATGCTCTGCTCTGCAAGTCAAACATCCCCGCCAAATGTACAGTTGGACACTGCCCTGTCGTCAACAGTTCGCCCACAGAGATGTCCACTGTTTACTCAGTACTCTGTCAGTCCATGAACATGGCGAGGCTTGTTGGGTTGAACTTCACTATAATCGTGTTCGACCAAGCAATTTATGCCAAGGCGGTAGATCTGGTCCTGCAAAGACCAACAGAGTTCAAGCCGATTGTCCTGCGCCTTGGTGGTTTCCACATCAGCCTGACGTTCCTTGCTGTCCTGGGCAAGCGATTTAAGGATGCTGGTTTGGCTGATGTTTTGATTGAATCCACTGTGGGTGGATCATCATCAGTTCAGTCAGCCTTAGATGGTCGCCACTACAACCGAGCAGTGCGGATGCATAAGCTTGTGGCCGAGTCTTTGGTGCGGATGAGATGGAGAGCCTTCTTGAGCACATTGGAACCAAGTGTTCTTCTGGAGTACAGCCAAGAGATTGCTGCCGGCATGAAGGCATTGCAGCAGCATATCAATGCTGACAATGCCGATCGTCTTCTAGATTCAGAAGAATTCAGGTCCATCTATCACCTGTATAAGGAGTTCTGTGGGCCACAAGCAGAATCATCCCCAATGTTTAAATTCTGGTCCTCCTACATTGACCTGGTGTTCCTGCTTCTGAAATTCATTCGGTCCTGCAGATCCGCAGACTGGGCGCTGCATCTATCGTGCATCCAGCAGATGTTGCCCTGGTTTTTCGCCTACGACAGGCCTAACTACGCTCGGTATGGAAAGCTGTACTGGATACAGATGACCAGCCTACCGGAATCCAACCCTGCAGCATCGAAGTATCTCGCAGATGGTGGATTTGTGGTTCAACGGTCACTCAACTCCTTTGCCCAGGTACCGTCTGATCTCGCTATTGAGCAATCGATAAACCGGTCTTCAAAGACTCAAGGAGGTGTTGTAGGCTGCAGCCGCAACCCAGCTGCTGTTCAGCGCTGGGTTATGACCGCCCACGACCGGCCAAGATGGCATAGATGTCACTTCAGCACTGTGGTCTGGATGAGGAAAGCTTGGAGAGCGAGTACATCCACAAAGAGTGCCATGAGACTCGGATGAGAGAGGACGAACGGCACGTGCAGCAGCTAGAATCCACATTTCACAGTTGGCTGGATCCATTCTCCAGTGACAGCACCGACCTTGTGAATGTGGCATCTGGGCTATCCTGCGGGAAATCTGCTCAACAAGACCTCCTCGGAGCCCAAGAGCGTGGCTGTAAAGCATTGGAAGCCTTTGTGGAGGAGCGCCATGTCTCAGGACAGAAGAAATTTCATGATCCACTTCCGAAGGTCAAGCTGCAAACATTCACCGTAGTCAAGAAAAGTACCACAAGCCAGTCGTCAAAGGCAATGTCAAGCCTGCGA